GTGGCAGATACTCTCAGAGCCCACAAGATATCTATCCTCCAGGCCACTAGCCTTGCCTCTGACAGACGACTGTGTCTCCCCGCGACGTCTAACAGCATAAGTGGAAGGAAAAACTAAACTAAACTTAAACAGATTTGGTTGAAGTCGCTACAATTTGTTAGTATGTGCGTATTTTTGGTAATTTTACTATAAATATGTATTGCTGGTGTTTTTTTTTTTATATAAAAATATATTGCTGGTATTTTTACTATAAAAATGTATTTTATACTTTCACAGTGTTTTGTTTTTTGTTTGTGGGTTCAATATTTGCCCATACCTGGGACCCTAATAGATGCTGCCAACCCGGATCAGGGTAGGTCCTGGAATAACAGATGGTTCCAATCGCCTGATCAAGGGCCTTGTTGCCGGATGTAGTTTATCGTCATACCCTGGACTATTGCTCACAAGTCTGGGTAAACCCGTAGTATGTTTTTTTTCAATTGGTACCGCATGCTGGATTCGTTTTTCTAGAACGATATTATCGTATAGCATTACGATACTCGCGAGATAATGACAATTACGTACATGGGTGAAATACAGATCAGTACATCTATTAATACATACGTTTCATAGAAAATATTTTATGTCTAGTTTCCGTAAACAGATAACAGTTTGTCGATACAACGAATCAGATTGGATACTATTTACATTATTCGAGCTATTGACCTAATCTTTGTTGCTATATTTATCACAACGTTTCGGCCGTTGTACGCCCCGGCCTTCTTCAGGAGCGTACAACAGCCGAAACGTTGTGATAAATATGGCAACAAAGATGAGGACAATAGTCCGATTTATGTAAATAATGTACATAATACCTCATCTCAGAAATATAGACTGAATCAGATTAGATATGAGCATATATGATAAAGATAACTGAATTAAGGTCTTATTCGGTATTTTACTTGGTCATACCTTGTGCTTGTGATGTCGCCAAGCCATTGAGAGAGAGAGAGAGAGAGAATATGGAAAGCTGGTGTAGACATACAGTCGTTTCAAGAGATGAGTACCAACTGGTGAAGCGACTTACATTTTGTGCCTCTCGCGAGAATCCCACGTGACGCATTTCTTACTCCTTGTGCATAAATTACAACTAATTAAGTTTTGTAACGCTACAATGTGCGTTGTGGTGTAATAGATATCGGCTCGAAGTGAGAACTCGGAGAGCCGATTTCGAATTCCAGTCGAGTTCGTTATATTCACTTATGCACAAATACCCTTGGGAAAGGTATGAATCCATATCTCCCCCCCCAACTTATGGGTTGAATAGCAGGACAGACTGGTTTCTTTATCCTTGGTTGGCAACCAGTTTACCACAGAAAGAAATGGCAACCAACTGCGCGAAAATAATCTTCCTCGTCAGTCATGTATCGAAAGATACATGATCGCCAAAGCTTGTATCATGTGTGGCACTTAACTGACTGAACGCTAAAATGCCAACACCTGTGGTCATATGTCAAACTAAGTTATTTCGTAGTGGCTGAGATAGTTAAATTTGTCAGTGTTCGAGCACGTAAAGACAGTATTTTAAATGCTGATTTTCAAGGCAAATTGACTTTCCCTACATGGAAGGCTGTTTTCCAACGTCGACTTGTTTTTGTGTCATAAGTTTAGTCAACTCTGCATAATTCCAGGTTTAGATAAATAAAACTTGACGGATTGACTATCTGTTAGCAGTTTTCTTTTGGGAACTATGGATTGTAATTATGATTCTTAACGCCAACGGTGACCTTAAGACGCAACAGTTTTTTTTTGCTATGCGTTTTCTACAAAAAATGTAAACAGAAAAATAGAAGACGGAAAAAAAATCGATTGAATATAAGTTCCTGGAAATAAATTTTGGGGTTTCGGTTAAGAAAAGAAGAAAAAGGTATGCATTTATTTTATTTCGCAATGGCAAGATGTTAGTCGACAAAACATTAACTGCGTAAAAATGGCGATACACTACTGATCATCAGTAACTGATGCCAATCACCACGAAAACCAGTGGTACTTAGAATTAAAAATGATACGTCAAGCACATAGACATACTTATTCAACCAAACACAGGTGAACATACCTCATTAAATAGTAAAAGAAAATATTATTTCAAACTATGTAAGTAATGAATAAATAATCCAATCGCACCTATTGCTTCAAGAAATGCGCAGCAGAAAATGGCACTCTGTTGAGTTTTAAAATATCTGAACTGATACCCCAAAATGCACGCGTATTTTTTTTTTTTTTTTTTTTTGTATGTGTGTATTTGTTTTAGTGGCAGAGTTAAGATTTTGAGATATTTAATAATTGGGACATTTGTGATGCAAAAATAATTTCTAGGAAGTATCAAAGAGAAGAATTAATTTCGTTGTGGGGTCTGGATATCGACAAATTTGGGATGAAATACGTTTTATTTTTACTCTTTGAAAATAATGTTTTGGTTTTACTTTTATGAAAACAAATTTAGAGGATTTCGATAAGCAAGTAAGACTTTCTTAGTCAAGAGTTTTGTGGCTGAAAATATTTTAAGAAAATTGAACGTGCTATTGATTGTTTTAATTAATCCCAAATTTTATGACTCTGGTGTGGATTTTTACACGAAAAGACCTCGAGTCAATAGGCGTCTCTACAATTTTTGGCCGGTGTGTATTCTCAGCAAATTAGAATTATCTGATTTGTGGGAATAAAAAGGTTGAAGCATTTAAGCTTAAATTTAAAATCAACAATATTTTAGTAACTAAAGTTTATATTTTCACAATCGTTCTTAATGTGACTGTGCGTCCCTGGAAAAGAAATAATAATTTGAATCTTTGATTGATGGAATCTAATTACTCATTTGGATTTATAGTTTTATTTTCTTATTTTTCTTCAATATGAAGACAAAGAGTTGAAAAATTCAGCGTCTTCATCTCGTCCCGACCGAAATGTAAAAATGAAGACATTAGTAAAAGAAAGAAAAAAAAACGGTGAATTCAGTAATATCAAAAATGAAACCGTAATGTTTGAAAAGACATCTTGAAGAGATTTTGTTTGTTTTCGTGTTTGTGTGTGTGCATAACAGAACAAAACAAAGCAATTTCCATAAAGAATTGCCATGTGTCCTAAAGGCCTTTATCCACTGTGCCACGTGTCCTTGAGGACACGTGGCACAGTGAATAAAGGCGTTAGTTAGATCCAGTGACAGGACCCAAAGAGTGTGAGTTCAATACCCGGTTAAGGCAGTGGAGAACTTTCAGAGGGAAATTAACAGGAGATGACTGATAACTGACATCCATTAAACATGGCAGTTGAACTAGAACAGTCTACTCCAGTGAGCGAAATAAAGGGTTCAGTTCGACATTCCAACCACCTGAAGAAGGCCGGAGCGTACAACGGCCGAAACGTTGTAATAAATATGGCGACAAAGATGAGGACAATAGTCCGAATAATGTAAATAATGTACATAATACCTCATCTCAGAAATATAGACAGATAATGAAGCATAAAAGTTAATTCCAAAGAAATGTCAAAAACTCGCCTTTATCACTTCCGATTTGTCTTGTGCTTGCAAAATCTGTAATATTTAAAAAAATAAAAATGCCTTGCAGAAAAAATTCTTTATTTAAAATATCCTTACAAAGTTTTTACCTGAAAGTCGATAAGTTTATCCGCAAATTTAATTTAACAATTGTATTTTAAAGATCTTTTTTTCGAGATACACTTTTCAATTTTTCATTTTTTCTGAATGATTTAAACATTAGGTTAATGCCGTCACATAGGTGAGATTTCTCCAAATTTTATGAAAAATATTCTTTTGTCGCTATAAAGTATTTTATAGATTCAAATTTAAAAGTTTTAATGTCCTAAAACATGCACATTCAAAACCCGAAACCGATTTTGTTATTTTATCAGCGTGAAACCTTCAGGTCACTTTAAACAAAGAACTTTTACTGAATTTGCTACGTCTGATGATAATCATCAGCGACCCTGCCTTCCTATCGAAACGTCGTCAATAAAAAATAGGTTTTACTTTTAAAAAATGTTACTTGAGCTTGGTTAATAATAATAATTATAAATCCTTAAATAATTTAAAGTTATTTTATGATAAAAAATAAGAATTCCTTGTCTTAAATTGTGATGACCCTTTTTCAAACTATTCTCCAACAAAATCTTTCACTTTGCTTTTTTAAAACAGTTTCAAAACGTTACCATTTTTTTTTTTACATAATTAATGAATTTGCATACTTATTAGAAACCGTTATTTCGATTGTCGTGTTTCGAAAATAATACTTTATCTCTTTAAAATTCAGTCATAAGAAAATTCAGTCATGTTTGCCTTCCATAAGTTATTTAATTTTAAATTACCTTTCATTGCAATTATTAACTAACATCAACAATTCACTTTAATCGATGTTTTTCCCTTCTCATTGATTGACCCTATTATAATAAGAATTCCTTACATATAAAATTAGACACTTTTTAAAAAATTAAGCGTAACAAAAATCATTAACATTATTATCACGAGACAAAGAAATTCATCGTTTTCTTTTAGTTTTGCCATTTCATTTCTTCCTGGCAATATTTACATTTTACAGTTAACAATAATAAACATATTTTAAAATAAATAGATTATAAAATAATATTAATGAAATATTTGTGTTACCATTATTTTTAAGCATTATTTTATTTTTTGACAAAATTCCACTTTATAGCAGATTATTTTTATAATTCGTTTATTATTGTGTATGTCTTCTTCTTGCCTGTCCTACCCGATCACTTCCCAACCCCTTAGTTTTTATCGGTCGTATAAAGGAAGAGAAAAATCCCTAACAGGCATTTTTTTATTCATAATTATTTTTGTTGATAAATAACAGTCATAATTTTGATGATTTAGACTAAGATTCATTTTAAAGGGCGAAACGTGCGAAAATAAATTTTTACGTCTTGACACAATAATATCATTGAAAATATTAGCTATGATGTCAGTGTGAGTGCGGGACAGTAACATGGACGCCCAAGCGTGTGCTCCTAACGCTGAAAGTACAGAAAGGTAAATAAATTCAACATAACTCATCCCTAAAATATACAATTTGCTGAAAGAAAACCAAGGATAGTTGGAAAAACAATCCCTGGGCGTGACGAGATTCTGGCCTGTTTATTGCGGGTAGAAATGTCTCCATATTTTTCTCCTCGTTGTTTATATGTGTAGCAGTAGTTGTAGTAGTTGAACGGACGAGTCGTAGTAGTCACGTAAAGAGAAAGAAAGAAAGATGTAGATTATTTTTCGTCTCTTTACTTATTCACTACACTCTCCACAAGCTGCTTGTGTGTTGACTTCACATTTACCAACCATATTTACGGGTGAATATTATTCCCACGTAAGATCTTTTGTGAAGTGGATTTTAGTGCATGTAGAGAAAAGAAAAAAAAAAAAAAAAAAGCAAGCGATAATAACCGTCGTTGTTTTGTGTCTCGCACATCTGTCGTCTCGTCAATGTTTCTTCTTGTTCATCTTGGCATTTTTAATGAATTGTTTCATATGGAATGGAGTGTATTTTTCTTGCTTTTGATTCCATCGCATGGTGATTTATTGTCAGAGTTGTTTGCAAAGTGATGGATTTGTTTCGTTGGGCCACATTAATCGTTGATTTACGACCTGTTTTGTTTGGTGATGAAGAAAGAAAAAACATTTATTTCGCACTACAAGATGTAGACGACAGGGTGGATGGTTACTGATGCTGGGGAAATGGTTAAAAAAAAACCCCATTCATTCTCCATTCTTCCATTTACCAAAAAGGGAATGCTGGCATTTCTGCAAATTAAATATATTAATTGGGGAAGTGATTGTAATTTTTAGTTTAAGAAATAATATTTTCTCCACAAATGATGAAGACGTGATTGCGAAATTTTAGTCAGTCGGCCGACTGTAATGGTTTCTTCCTTAGTCGGACAAATAATTATTTATTTGGGTTTTATTTAATTATTTGGCAAATATATCATATTTGGTTTTATTTCAAAGTGATCATTAAAATATTTTAGTAACAAGAAATTTAGCAAAATCATTACAGTCTGTTTTTGATATATTTTTCATCAGTTTTTTAAAAATAGCTATAAAAAATGTCAGCGTCTTTTTCAAAATGCTAACGAATTTAAAATTTGATTAAATTTCATAAATTCATTTAAATTATTTAAAAATCATTTTATTAAAATATTAATCATATTTCTTTTTATTTCTCCATTTTTAACGTATTTTGAATTTTTGATTCTTTATTTTTATCGAAAATTTCCAAGAAAAAAGCAAATTTAAAAATAGGATTTAAAATAAAAAAAATATTAATTTAAGATAATTTTTTGCTTATTTACAAAAATGAAAAAAGATTTCTTTATGATCTTGAAATAAGCAAAAATTCAAACAAAATAGCAAAAATTCTATAATTCTTTGTTTCTTGTTAAACGGCATTTTTAAAGACTCGTTCTTGATGGCTTATCTTTGTGCATTTTCGTTTAGAAAAAAAATGTATTATTTTTATTTAATTAAAGTAAAGAAAAATCTTTCAAAAAGCTAATGATTTAAAACTGCATTGCTTTCAAGCAAGCAAAAAAATCTTTCATTTTTCCCTTTTAAAAAAGAAAGAAAATTAAAAAGATGTTGTCTATTTTTCTTTTCTCCTTGATATCCATTTGATTTCTCTCAGTAATGTCGATAACCATTTCTAGAGGAAGAAATCTGCTAAAAGCAACATTTTTCTCCTATTTATCCACGAAATTCTGCTACTAATTCTTGACTGCAACAACCATCGTTGCAAAGAAGAAAATTCAAAAATGTCAGAATTTAGGACGTTTTTTCCTCTTGTTAGAAAATTAATAAAAACCTGGTTTCATCTTCATTATTATCATTCTCTATTATAAAATTTATTACCAGGCATTTTTCTTTCTTCTGGATTAGGAATTTAATTAAAACTAAAAGCAAACGTTCGCAGAGTGATGGATGGAAGAAGAGGAGAAAGAAAGCAAGAACCAAATTTTGCTATTGTTTGCTTCCATTTATTTTGTAGTTAAATAATAAAGAAAGAAAATGATGTTTATAAAGTTTGTGAAGAAACCATTTTATTTTTCTAAGTCATGTTCTGTTTTTAATGTTTCCTAAAGTCGTCCGTGGATTTTGTTGTCCCCCCCCCCGATTGATAAATAATTCATGTCATCTCTGCTTCTTGATGATGAAGTTGATGATGATTGCAAATTAAATCCCGATAGAAATTCTTTCTAAATCTCCCTTTCATTTAAAAAATCAAACATTATTTTTCTTATTCAATTGATTTCAGTTATATATCAAATTTTGCTATTTCCCTGCAAAATTGAAGAATTTTTTTATTTTACGTAGCTAACTCGAAAAAATTCACAGCTATTTTTAACAATAATAACAACAACAACAATGATGATGATGATAATAATAATAATAGCAGAATTAAAAAGAATGTCTCATATTAAAATCTAACTTAAAACTGAAATAGAAAACGTGCCTCCCCTTTTAAAAATGTCATTGTAGTAAGTAACTCAATGCACACGTTTTTAAAAGGAGACACCTGCCTTATCAGTGATTCACAATTCAATCGTGTTCATTTAAGGGGGGTCGATTTAATATAAGAATGTATAGTATATTGATCCCCCACTTTAAGGGCTGCAATTTTTTGCTTTCTTGCCATTTTTAAAATGGACAGTTTAAGCAGAAAAGATTTCTCATAACTGACAGAATTTTTCATGGCTCGTTTATGACATTAGTTGTTTTTTTTTTTAGTTCCTTTCTTATACAACAATATATTTGTATCTCTTAGTACAAGTTTTCCTCTTCGTCTCCAACTAGAGTTTTAACTCTTCTTTTCACATGGCAAAGAAGTAGTTCGTTAAAAAGCGTAGAACGGTACTAGTTTTAAAATGCTTTACATGTTAAAATATAGACAATTCGCAACCATTTTATATGGATTTTATTTCTTTCAGACTTGTAAATAATTTTCTAGTCTTAAACGTCAGTTTCTATTCGGAAAAAAATTCTTTCAACGAAAGGAAATATTAAAAAAACATTAATTTATATGTAATAATAAATGATTTTAATTTTTACTGGCTTCAGCATTATTGTAGCTTTTTATCATTATAATACAACTTTTCTTAATCCCTTAAACTGCTAGAATTGGTAACAAAGAAATAGCGTTGGGTGAGACTTGAACTCTTGCCTTAACCAAGAAGCTCATCATTCATGGATGATGCCTTGACCATTTGGGCTACTAAAGTTTTAAAGTCTTAATCTTTCTACCAAGGTCTTTTTCTTTTAACTTAGTCAATGATATGTGAAACAGTTTACTATAATGTTATTATCAGTTAGTAGATGGAACATATTTATTTTTCCTCCTTTATCTCTGCATTGAAACCACCTAACAATATTTTCTTAATCTGGCATAATGGGCATAATATTGATCAGTAATGTTGAACATGTTGACCATAATAAATGTAGTTATGATGGTGATGATGGCATTGCATTTTCATAAATTATAAAAGCCTAGTTTATTTAGTTAGTTAAAGATTTTCATAGATGATCATTTATCTGTCCTTCTGTTAAGGTGAATCAAAGTGTTAAGGAAACATTTAAAGTGTTTTGCTTGAAATTCCTAGCTTTCATATACATTAATAATTATTATATAGTTGAAAACATTTGAGCAAAACTTGCACTGTATAAAGTGATTTTTATTGAATAAATCTACAACTTATGAAATTTTGCTACTGAAATGTATCTTTGTCTATAATAACAAAGGTTTTGCTTGAACCACATGTGATGAGAAAATATTGTGGAGTCTATGAGAGTGTGGCAAAAGGAACTAAAGTTCTTTGACCTATTAGCCCTGTTGGTAATCAATCATTGATGTATGCATTAAAGTATGCATGGTTATAACTATATCCTAGCCATTACAAATATGCTATGGACTTGACATTTTAAGGCTCTTTTCTGATAAGGTTTGCTGTTGTTAATTCTTATAGAATTCAAATAATAAATATTGTCATCTTGGATATTGGATTGAGAATTTCTATTTGATAGCCTCTTAGGTTTTTATTGTTGATTGTGCCCAACATAAATATTGTGATTTTAATATGCTATAAACTTCCTTAATGTGGCTAAACGGATTGCTAGATTGGAACACCTAGAATTTATGGGGAATAATACTGAAAAATAGGCTTTCATAATTCAAACATTAATTATTTGTAACAAGCTGGGTGCCTATTGAGTTTGTTTCTTTTGCAGGCAAAAAAAAAATGTTCAAAACATTTTTCTGCCTCTTTACTTCAGACATGTGAACCCCCCAACCCAACCCAAACCCAAAACAAATATCATAGACTGAACTTTAGTTTACAATCCTGAAAACCAAATTTTATCACCAACTATCGATGATAGGATTTCCTAAACTGCAGGTTGTTATCAACAATTTTTGTTTTTCATTCATTGCAAAACACAAATATTTAACAAATGTGAAGTGAATTTATCTTTCTTTTTGATTGTCACATAGGAGAATGATAATATTAGAAATAAAATCATTAAAATTTACCATTGAAATGTTAAAATGGACTTTGTGCAATTATTTTAATACCATTTCTTTATTAGTTTCAATTCAGTAATTGGGCATTTATTTTCTAGTTGATTGGAAGATCCCCAAAACATTGCTAATACTTGTGTTAATGATTTAGTGTGAGTACTTGGAGAATTCTTGTAAATAGGCAAGCATTTGCATGATTGTGCAGTAGTAGAAGAGCAGACTAATAGTTGCCATTGGAGTCTGCTGAGGCACATTAACACAAGCGTTTTTTGGGGGAAAGATTGATGGGAAAGAGATTAAAGATTAAATATCTAAAATTGTAAAACATTCTTCATCTTCAAGGATTTTTCTTAATAAAATGTCTTGAAAATGAACAAATAAAAATGACAATGTGTAAATCTACTGAATATTAGTCCTATTACACTATCTTCTACATAAAATATTTGTAGACGGAAAAATTGTTTCCTTATAT